CAGAACAGTAACACAAACAGTGTGATCGGTGAGTTTTTTTGTGCAACCGACATCAACTATGAGCTAACAACAGCCTCATAACTAATAAATAACACAGGGGAAAGTTGATAAAAGGCAACTGCAAAGTAACTTTTACTCACGATTCACTCAAATCAAGCCATCATAACCACTGAATATTACAGGCAACTGTTGAGTGAACTCTGAATCACCTCTTTTCCCGTTAGAAAGAACGTGACGTAGTCAAAAGGGATGCTCAAATGTTGCTTGGATTCCTTTAACAACATGCAAAGGGTGTTACAACTAAGTGCCATTTTGTTCACAAGGACCAGGGCTGCTGACAGATGTTGACTGACAGCAAGATTCCATGGACGAGCCTCAACGGTGCGCCGGACACTGGCGTTTTGTTGAAACCTCATCCTCCCTCATATTCCTGAAAATAAACTGTTGTGTTTCGTCGTTGCTCCTTGATACAAAACTAGTCATTTTGATGTGTAGCAGGGAGGGAGAGTGAGAGGCAGAGGTATGGGAGCAGAAGGGGGGGTGCACCACAGGAACTGATGCCAGATGGTGGTGTCATTGATGAAATTAAACAGGAAAATGAGGGAGAAATGGAGTGGCGGGGTGGGGTTGTCCTTCTAGACGCACACACACAGTCTGTAAGGTTTAAGGCTCATTGGTCGTGGTTCTTTAAGGAATAAAATTCCACAGGTGGCTGAAGATACAGTAATTTAGGTCATTTATCAGCAGCTAATCTGGTCAGCTCACTCTCCCTTATCATAAGGGAAGCCCTGAACGTTCAGGTGAAGAGCTCCTTTGGGAGCTCGGCGGTTCTGTTTCAGTAGAGAAAATACTCCTCGCGAGGAACATAATACGATGAGCAGAAAAACATAGAGCGTGTTACCTTTTAGTTGTTATGACTCAGTTCCCTCATGTGCTGAAATTGCAAGTCGGCGCTACGCAGTGATATATCAAACTGGATAGCAGCTAAGCTATAAAATGAATACCTCTGATCTGTGCTTGAGTGTGCGGTTGAGTTACTTGTGTGTGCTTGTTACGAAAATACACACCACACATAAGATTCGGCTATCTCGACTAAATGCCGAGCGATGGAGCACCACGGCAGTGGAGTGGAAAGGGACTGGACAGGAGCAATGACACAGTGGAAACCAGAGAACTGTTTCTGTTTCAAGTCCTGAGTGAATCGCAGTTATGATCAAGCGCACACGGACACACACCCACATATGCACGCGCGCACACATATCCATTGTGGAGGGAGAATGATGTGTACAATCATCTGATCATATCTGTGTTTTATAACCCTTGCAGTGGTGCAGAATGATGCTCTGTGTGTGTGTGTGTGTCCTGTGGCTCCCCTGCTGCACCCCAGTGACAAGAAATCAGTCATTGAACAACTAATCATCATCATTGGAGCTGTCTACACTGATACCTTCCCCCTGTCTTTCACGATGAACTGGCTGTGGTTAGGTTATATTGTCTAGATAAATTGTCTTTGCTATCGGTGATCAAACATGGGAATCTCTATTTTTACAATGAATAAAGCAGGAAACCCCTCTTATCTCTCTGGTAATTGAGAGCACTGTATGTCTAAATGACATTTCTCCTCTTTATCAGGTGGGTCCTCCTCCAAAAAGGTGCTGCCGTGGGCTCTGATTGCCACAGCAACAGAGCGTCTCAGAGTATGGTATGGTCACTTACTTCACTGTTGTTCTCTTCCACTCCAGAGTGAGGGAGTCACGTGTAGCCTCTGAGAAGCAGGCAGGAGGACACTCTTTCCTACAGAGACATCCTATTTCTGTGTCATCTCTTAAGGCCAGAAGAAAGAGTCTGTATTCCAGCTACTTCTTGGTGCCCCCCCAAAAAAAAGGAGGAAATATGAGACCTGTGTTGGATGTGCAGGCGCCGTACAAAGATCAGTCCACCTGCTTACTCATAAGAACGAGTCAAGCTGGGAGACTGGTTTGAAAATGATAAAGTTGAAAGGCACTTTCATGTCTTTGTGGTTTGTAGGCACATGAAGTTCCTACATGTTGCCTTAAGAGTACAGAAAGTAACTTTTCAAAGTGTGTGGACACGTGTGAGAAATATACTGTGGTGCTCGGGGAATGCATGTGTTCTACCTTCTACCTTGACAACCTTAACATCCATGTCCAGCCCATTACGGCTAATGGCCTATGATGTCCAATTATCTACTGAGAAACTGACAGAAGCGGAGTATAAAGCCACATTTAAAGTGCTGAAACAATTATTGCATCAAGGGCACAGCAGAGAGGTAGAATATGCTACAGGAGTGGTTGGAGAAGTTTATTTGGATGTTTTTATTGTATGGATTTAGTTTCCATATTTTTTTTTTCTAAACATACATGTACTAAAGATTCAACATGTTTCCATGCACTGGCACAATGATTCTCAATAGGGGATTTTAGCAGGTGATATAGATATATGTAGGCCTAAGTATTGTTCAGACTTAACCTGCCAATTTGACACAGTGTGAAATGACTGTCTGAAAGAGTTCCCTCAGCACAAACAAACCTTGGGAAGAAGATTAACATCAGGGAAATAATGGTACCTTTTACCCGAATGAACCACGTGACCTCCACCCTGAGACATATTTAGTGCGAGCCCATAGAACAAACGCGGACATTTTCAGGTATCCATCACTGAACTGGCAGTGTTGCTTTGCATTGACTAGCACATGAAGTGGAGCGAGGCTTCCCAGACATCACAACAAGAGTAATGGGCCTCAGACTGCAGGGCTGCACGGAGGCTGCAGCACCACTTTGGACTGAGTGGATCATAGAGCTCTATCTAGAAATGCAGGGAAGCTTCCACCTTCAGTGTCATTTTCTCTGCCGCTGTAAATGGAGGAAAATCGCTGTTGTTACCGTCGCTTTTCATCTGCTGATGACGCAGTGTTTATAGTGTCATAGTTCGCCCAATTTTCCAGAAGAGGAAAGAAAAAAAGTTTGTGCAAAGTTACTGTACGTAACTTTATACAGTGGTAAAAGCTATGATCTATTATCACGTGTGGTGGACTTTCATAACTGTGTCAGGCGTGTTTGGTTTTCTTTTAAAGGATCGATAAAGACATTCAATCATCTCAGAGTGAAAGGGGTGCAACACTATGTGACTAAGAGAAAGAAAGAAAAAGAAGAAGAAGAGTAACCTGACTGATACACCAAAAAACAAGTCTCCCTTGTCAATTCCCAAATGCTCAGATGAAGCTTTATGTTGCAACTGGAAAATGAAAGGAGACAACAAGTTCAGGTCCAAGGATGAGAGGGCTGTTGGGTTAATGCAATACCTTGTTTCCAGGTTGTGGATGTTTGAGACCAACGCTACACAGCAAGGAAGGAAGTGTGTACAGGTCGTGATGAAAACCCTGTCAGACGTGGCCAAACTGACCTTTTGGAAAACCACAAGAAAAGTGATTCAGAGCTAAGGTGCAGCAGAGCGTGTCCTGATGTCAGGGTCCGCCTCACAAAGTGTGGGTGTATCAGAGTGAGAGAAAACGTGTGTAACGCGAGCTCACCGGGAGAACTGTGTGTGCTGTTTTCGCTAAAGAACTATTTTTTTTAGATTGTGGAACTTCGAATTTCACTAGCCTAAATGATATTTGTTTAAAATGAAATTCTCTTTGAATTGCCTACACACTGTCAAGCCAGATTAAAAACGATGGCCCACACATACTCACAATTACAGCGTCTGTTCTGATAGATATGTTGAAAAAAAAAAAAGAGCGGTACACAGCCTCAAGGTGGAAGACAAACTTGAAGAAAAAAAACAAGTAAAGAAACAGAAACTGATCTATTTTAGTGCTCTTGTTCTAATCTTTCTTCGGGAAAAAAAAAACATAATCCCTGAGCGCAGGTTCTCAGAGACAGGTGTGTGAGCGCTGAAAGACAGCGTTACACAAGTTGGGATGAGCAGCAAGAAAAAACTGAAGTTGCCCTGGGGAGTGAAACTGTAGAAAAATGACACTTCAATGGGGATGAAATTACAAAGACGATAATCGGATTTTACAGGCCTGAGAATGAAAACTTATTTGCAGGAACATTCTGAAAAATGTCATCTTTTACATAGTGTACGATCCACACATAACTTACAACTCTTACCCTCACCTCAGTTTGGACGCCATGCTGTACATGCGGTGGCTCTGTGATGATGATGATGATGATGATGAGTAGCCACTGACTACTTTACTCTATGCTATCAATAAGGGCTTAAATTGAAGTTCTTAATCAATGCGTTTCTCCATCAGTGGTTCTGCCTGTTTTAGTGGACTTCTTTAGCCACTGCTCCACCACAGAACTACACTATGGGATCCTCTATTTTAAACACAGTCATTGTCTCAACTTGGCTTAATGTGGCCTTATGTAATGGCCTATATTGTCTCATGGGTTGAGTCTGTCCCCAAGGAGCTCCAGTGGTCTTATTAGCACAGCATATATTAGTATACTGTAAAAGAGGTCGATACAGCGCCAAGGCAAATCCCTTCATCTACATTTATTTAGAACAGGAAAATTGAACAGGAAGAACAGGAAAATTGTCCATTTTTTTTTTTTTTTTTTGGATTTTTCCCCCCTCTCCTGATCAAATGACTAAAGTTCGGACACACAACATTTTGTAAGGTGGTCATGCGGTGTGTGTGCCGCCACTGTGTGTGCCTATGCATTGGACTGCAGTGAGCGTGGTTAACATTCAGAGCAAGTATTCGGAGGGAAGACAGCACTTGCTCTTTTTCCTGGACCTCCAAAGAGCAGCCCCAGAGAGCAGAGGAAAACACGGTGCCACCCCACGGCCCCACGGTATGCTCCGGGGTTTGACAGAAAAAAGACACACCAACCCCCCTCCCACACACACACACAGAGACACACACACACGCGCGTTCACCGGTGCTAGCAGGTAGAAAAACTTCCGTCCCCCTCCCTCCCTCCTTTCTTTCCCTTCTCCATAAGTAAGGTAGAAAAAGAGAAACTTACCACCCCCGTGTCCAGCTGCTCGGTAGTCAGAGAGGGAGCCGCTCCAGTCAGAGGTAAAAACCACAGTATCAGCATCAACAGCAGCATCTCCGGAGAAATATTCCTCATCCACTTGTGAGCGACCAGAGACATCATGATGCCCTATGACAGGCTGGTCCTGCAGGGCTCAGACACCGACCCCGACAGCCGCATCCACGGGATCAATCACACGCCGACGCTCCTGTAAAATGTGTCCGAATAAGTCTACCTCACTGTTGAGCGCAAACACATAAAACACATTTAAAAAAAAACCCAGCGGCGGTAAAAAGCACTTGAGACCATTAGAGCAGTTTGTGTCCCGCAAAACTGCAGTTGTAACTATCGGCTAAGTGGCCACAGTGAGGGAGAAACTGCGTGCTCTGGTTTTATATCAAGTCCATCACAGGTAACATCCCTGGAGCAAGCCGGCGCGAGCTCCTCTCTCCGTCGTTGCGTCTCGAGCGCTGGAGAAATGAAAGCAGCTGCGTGCGGCTGTGTCGCGAGCAGCGGAGAGCGACCTCAAGCCACTGGCAATAACCTGTTCAACTTCCGGACATAATTGCCAAAATAAAATCCTCGCCACTGGATTACAAAAAAAAAAAAGTAAGGAATGACACAAGCGTCATTTCCCTATACTTAAAAAGTCCCTAAATCTAAAACAAATCTGTATTTTATAAAAGCTTATAAAAAGCTTCCAAACAGTATTAATGATGTGGGTTGCCAGATAGTAAAAAATGATCAGTGTTATAGTTGTTTAAGTTAGTTTATGCTGAAATGATTGATGAAAAAAGAATAGCCTACAGAGGGCTGTTGAATTTGTGTAAGTCATAATTATACCACACATTTGCTGATTACAGTTGTAAGAAGTATTTGCTTATATTTTCCCCTGAAAATGAAATACATAAGGTTTGTTGGTTCTTAATATAAACAATTATAAAAAATACTCTGGGCTGTGATAACTTGTAATAGGCGTTTAAACATTTAATTGTGGTCGATTAAATGAAACAAAATGTATTAATTATGTAATAAAATAATAATTTGTTAAATTTAGAAAAATACAAGAAAAATACAGACTTCTGTTTAAGATATGACCAGTGCACACATTTTTAAAGTCTACATTTTCTTATGCCTACAAAGACAACAATATAAAACAACAAACTTGAGAAAGACCATAGGACCCCTAGGACACTGTATAATAACCACTTTCCCCACTCGAATACAGCTGCAGATTTTATTCTGTGCTTTTATTTTGAAGTTTGATTGTCAAACTTCCAGCAGGCTACTTTTGAAGGTTTTTTCTGACTTTATTTAAACAGCTGTGAGAGAATTTGAATTCATCTTGAGGCGCCTTTTATTTAATCTCTTTGGCCTTTAATCATGATTCATCAAAAAGATAAAACAGTTCATGTCCTAAAGAAGGTAATTAAGAAATGGCCATGCTTTTTACACTAGTAGTGTTGTATATGATGCTGGAAAATAGATCACACGGAGATTACTTTAATAACTGCTGCTACTGCTGACTAATAATATTGGTATCATAATAATTATTATTCCTATTTTCTTCTTGTCTTTCTCGGTGCTGGAGTTGTGTTTCCTGGATCTCATCCTGGACTCACTGACAAGGATGATTGCCATGCCAAGGTTAAACAAACATCATAAAATCCTCATTTAAAATAAATGAAGTCAAAGGGAATCTCAAATAAAAGTCTAAAGTTGGAAGTACTACAACAACAAGCGATTACATTTTATTTGCTCAGTTTAAAACTTAGGACATCATGGTTGCTTAATGACAAGAAAGATCCTTCAACTGGGGGAACCAAGTTCATGGCCCCAATGTGGCAATTATCCACCCTCATGAAATGTCCTCAAGCCAGACTGAATCCTTATTAGTTCTAGCAGTGCTGACCTGAAGACGACCCTGCACCACTGCGCTCAGACCCTCCCTGTGGAGGATGAACGTAAAAAAAAGTAAATTTTCCAGCAGGAATTTTAAACAGTAAAGCATTATTGTTAACACTGTTAAAAATCACGGCTAACTGCCTCCGCAACATCAAGGTGAATTATCTATTTAAATCTTGAATCATAATGCAGACGCACGCACACACCTTGGTGTCCACCCACATGCAGACACCCACATTCAAGCATCTTAACTATTCTGTGTCTACTTTGATAGACAGTCTCCTTAACCTTACTGCTCTGTTACTAATGATTCACAGCTCTCCTTTTATTGTACCACAGCCTCATGGCTCGACTGCAAAGAAACACATAGGCCTAATGAGTGCATGGGCATGAGCAACCACATACACAAATTATGCTTATGCAGTCGATCTACTGCTGGAACTATTGAATTTCCATTTCAAATAGTTTTCTATGTAATATTTAACAGTTATATCACTATTTTCCACTAGAAGGTCCAGACAACTGGTGCTTACATGACGTGGCTGTTTATGCCATTAAAGTCCAGGAGCCCCAGAATGTACTGGGAAACACTTAGAAATGAATTGACACCCAATTAAATACACATATCCGCAGAAGCCCGCTCTTGAAGTGAAGAAAGTGCACATGTCTCTGAAATACTAAGATTTTGTACCCCTCGGCTCATTACACTTCTATTTTCAACCATATTTTGGAAAACGTGACAGAAAAGCACACAATTTGCTGCATGAAAATGTTACAATGAGGCAGTTAATGCAAAATACAACTCAATCAGCCCACTCTTTGCTTCCTCTGAGGAAAGATTTATTCATTTATGCATATATTTTAGGTTAATAATTATCAACATTCACAGGTTAATGCAGAAACATTTTTATGATCAATCAACCAATCAGTCAATCCACAAAGGGCTGTACACGCATACATGTATTAGCTGGTTCCATTTCTTATTGAGATCCATTACAGTAGTCGCTCGGCAGCATTAAGCTCTGCTGTCTTAGTGCTGAAGGCTTAAAACTTCTCAACTTTACTGCTTCCAGTCCCAGTCGTCATATAGCCGCAACATTATGATAATTGTAGCATCTGAATGTTGTGTCTCACAGCATGTCTGCTGGCAGAGAAGCAGTTTCAGTCATTCAGTTTTATATTAACAGAAGGTTAAAACATCCATTTACTCATCTCAGTCTGCTCTGCACATTTCACCTGAAGTGTTTCACCATCTTCATATTATTTCCCAGAGAAATTTAGCTCATTTTCTTCAGTCTGATCATAATTATAGGAAAACCCAGTGCAATGGACGTGGACTGAATTGAGTTTGTTGGCTGTTATAGTGTAACACATGCATTTTAATATTTGTTGAAACATTTTGTGCCAAGTTAGCTGCATACTTCATGCACTGCTGAGGTTAAAAACAAAAGATAGATGAATATTGTCAAATATCTGGCTTTGCCATTGCATAATGTCATAGTATCACGAGGAGTGACATGAATGTTTTTGTGTGGCTTAGTTGGCTATTGTTTGAACATGGAGACATGTTTGATCATGGTTAACAACAACACGACATTAATTGAATCTCTTTGCTTTATTCTCTTAGATTATTCTGTGTGTTCATGCTGATTGACGGAAAGACTAAAACACTTGCGGTTGTTGCTGCTTTTTAGATTCCACCACCAGACTTATTTCCTGGGTGTATGTATATAAATAACTGTATATATTGATTCATTTTATTTGTATGTTTTATATTATTATATGAATTTGTTTATCCTTTTCTGTGTAGCATGGAGGATCTTCAAAATTT